CCTGCTTCCAATCATTAGGTATTTCTCCAGTTTCTAAAGACCGTCTGAAGATAGCGGAGAGTGGTTTAAAGATGATCTCACTAACTTCCCTGAGCACTCTAGGATATAAGCCATCAGGACCCGCCGCCTTATCTGCCTTTAGTTTATGCAACTTGTCTAATACTTCATTATCCCTAACCTCAATTTCCGCAAAATAATCTTGAGCGTTGAACATGCCCTCTGGCCGAAAAAAAACCCGCTCTGAGGTAAAATTCTCAACAAAAAAACTGTTTAAGGTATCCGCAATATCCTTGTTATCATATAGCAGCGATCCATATTTATTCTTTATGCACTTAACCTTCTCTTTGACTTTCCTGTTTCTGCTAAATTACTGAAAGAAGCGCTTAGGATTAGTTTTTGCCCCTTCTGCAATTTGCCTTTCATACAGTCTTCTAGCATTCCTCAGCTCTTTTTCGACCACAGCTCGCATTTTACAGCATTCAGCCTTAGTATTCTCATTGTTATCCTTTATGTACGTCTTATAGAGATTCCTCTTATTCCTCAGACTCCTACGAATAGCTGTGGTCATCCATGGAGGATTTTGCTTTTTCAGCTTACTTTTGGACACCTTTGGAATGAATTTACATTGTGAATCAAGTAAACCCCCCTTAAATCTTTCCCACATCTCATTTACAGACTCACAGTCCAGAAGTGTCTCCCATTTTATTTCGCTTAGATGTGAGCGCATACCGTCAAAGTTTGCTCGCCTAAAATTAAAAATTTTGGTTTTCGAAGACACCTTTTTAAATTCGCATGAAATGTCAAAATTAACAGTAGAGTGATCACTAGTCCTAAGTGGCTCCAGTACCTCAACATTGCTAAGTCTATCAGAGTCATTACAAAGCACCAAATCTAAAATTGCTTTCTCTCTTGTAGGTTTATTAATATACTGCACCAAAAAAATTGTCATTTATAACATCCAGAAATTCTTCCTCCACTTTATCCTGTCCTTTCACCATTTTCCAATCGATACCAGGATAATTGAAGTCTCCCATAATAATAACACCTTGGACTCAAAGTGTTACTTGGCTCCAGATTGAAAGGACACCTCAGAAGTTTGTGCACACTGAGTTTGACACCCCAGCTGTAGCTGTTGAAAGAGGTGCATTTTGTCTGAGTCACATCGTAAGCCTGCGTAATAGATACCCAGAATCAGGGTTGAACATCCCTGGATGAGACCATCACACTCACAGATTGACATACACTCCTGCTCTTTCCATTTCAGTCCTCAAGGTCTGAGACCTACCAGTGCTCCACTCTCCCTTTACCTGGGAATCAGATGTCATGACAGTCTAGCCAATTGGCAGTGCTCATTGTTTAGTGACTTACCGAGGAGGAAAGAAAACCTGAGACGGATTTGGATTCAGGGGCCAGATTTGCGGATCCCTGATCTACACTGTCCCTCCCTCCCCCTGCAGCTGGAGGACACCCAGACCATGCCAGTGAGAGCTCCGCCCACAGAGTCACCCTACACTGAGGAAACGGATGAGTTCTCCGGTCACATGACTACCACTAAAGAGCCTTCTTCGGCCCCGCCCATACGGATGACGGAGCATATTGGTACGTACTGTTCTGTATTCAAAGTAATAGAGCATAAAACATTTTTACAGGTATGCTAAGGTACAAGGTCATTTTTAAAGGATATTTTAAGCGTTTTTTTGAAATAAGGATGGCCCATTTTTGGCATATTTGAAATAATTTAATGAACTGTACAGCAAGAGTACAATTTGAGAACTAATTTTCTTATTGCTATGCTAGGATGTTATACCACAAGCTTCTCATGATCTTAGTTTGCCTTTTGAAAGTGTACTTTATGCACACTACACATCAAAAAACTTTAATGTAAAAATGTGAGAACTGAAAACGTGTTCAATTTTTATTGCACTATATGAAGTAAATTGATAATTCTTTATGCCCAGGCTCATGTTTATGTTATTATTTTTAAGATTATTTGACCTGCAATTAAGGTCATTGTTATTAAGGCCATTAGATCCGTGGGTTCCTCAAAAAAAATTCATTCTCCTGTCAAATTGAAAAATGAGCTTGTTCTGTCCAAGGTCCACAGTATTAGCACTGAATTATTTACCCACTAGAGGGCGGCAAAACACCTTTAGAAGGAGCTACTCGCGTTGCAATAATTAAGCCAGAGGGGAAAAACGTTAATTTCTTTATCATCACAAAATACACGGATGGACTTTAAAAACTTATAACCAGAATTGTAGCCAAACTCGGATTCAAATTTGTTACCATTTATTGACTTTACCCATAACAACAATTTCAACAAAATGTCAGACAACATCAACAAAAAAAGAAAGACAAAAGAATCAACAATGACAATTTTAACAACAAAATCAACAACAAAGATCAACTCCAATCTCAGTATCGAGTGTGACCGCCATGTGCCTGCAACAAAGCCATCACTCATCTTGGCATGGACAGCACCATTCTGTTGTGCTGTTGCTGGGGAATGGCCTGCCATTCCTGGAGAAGGGCTTCTTGGAGCTCTGCCCTCGTCCTGGGCGCTGGAGTGCGTTGCCGAACCCTCCGATCCAACTGGTCCCACACATGCTCGATGCAGTTAATGTCAGGGCTGAAAGGTGGCCATTCCATGACTCGCACACCAATGTGGGCCAGGAGCTGCTGGGTCACACGTGCTGAGTGAGGTCTTGCGTTGTCTTGCATGAACGTGACCTCAGGGTTGTCTGTGATGTAAGGCACCTTGTCTGATGACAAGGTCACAGTAGTGGGCTGCATAAAGATTTCCATTGATTATGACCAGGTCGGACCTCCAGCCGCACCGAATGGCACCCCAGTCCATCACCGAACCTCCTCCAAAGCGATCTGTCTCAGCAATGCAGGGGGCCGCATATCTCTTACCACGTCATCTGTAGACCCTCTAACTTCTATCATGTCGGTACAGACAAAATCTGGGCTCATCACTGAAGACAACATTCCTCCAGAATCGGTTGGTGACTCATCTCTGACCATATTCTTCAGCCCAGCGAAGCCTGGTAGCTCTTCGCCGTGCATCAAGCTGCATTTCAACAGATGCCCTGTGGGCTCTGATCCCTCGCTCTGCAAGTCGGCGACTCACTGTTCTTCTGCTGATCCTTGGTCTGTGGATTCCTAGGGTCTCCTGAGCCATCCTGGTGCAGGTTTGAAACCAATCTCTCAGGTGGACGAGGCGGATCTGATTGTCCTGGGCTGGGGTCGTGACCCTAGGCTGACCAGGTCGGGGTCGATCATTGGTGCTTCCAGTCTCCTGGTAACGAGCCACAAGGTTAGAGATTGTGGGTTGGCTTACCCCAAAACGCTGGACGATGCGATTTTGGGATGTTCCAGCCATCCACAGCCCAATGGCTTGATCACGTTGGGGTCTAGAAAGGCGAGGCATGGCGCATGTGGTGTCTTTGAACAAATGCTCTCGGGTTCTAGCCTTAATAACCTCAAGGATTGTTTAAAGGCATTTGACAGCATTGCAATTGTGATCAGTGAAGCCGGACGAGGTTACATCACTAATTCCTCAAATCCTGCTCCACAGACTCAAACAAGGTCATGACCTCACATACTGTTGTGTCTCCTTACTCAAAGACAACTGCATATCAATTATGTAATCATCTAATTAAAGTTCCCCTAACCCAACTATACTATTTCTGTCTAGTCAGACTTATAAGTTTTTAAAGTCCATCAGTATATATTCTACGCATCATTAAGTTTTAAAACCCCCAATAATTCTTTATAGTATTAGGTTAAAATTGGTTTCTGTCTTTATTTAATTTATATCTGCTTTTTATTATTATTTATTCATTTTCTGGTACATTCAGAGGAATCCTGGAGCCACTGGTTATCCAAATAAAATTCACAATTTATGTGTACTAAAAGTGCAATATATACACACTACAGAAGGTTTACTAGCTTTTTTTTAAAATAAAGACCATAATAAAAGAGAATCTGAGACGGTAATGGATTGAAGTAAATAAATGTTTGAATTTTTCTTCCCTCCAGGGCTGAGACGAGGACAGGAGTTACCGGAGGGTGTAAGAACCGGGAGTGTGAGTTACTCTGCGTCCTCTGGAAGAGATAGACCTGATGAATATGCATCTAAATGAATGATAAATGCATTGTGTGGGTGTATGTATGTGTGTGTGTGTGTGTGTGTGTGTTTGTGTGGGTTTGTGTACATATGCTGTGTGTGTATGCGTTGGCGTGTGTACATGCATCTGTGTATGTGTATGTATGAATGTATGGGTGTCTGTACATATGCGTGTGTGTGTATGTGTGTGTGCATGTGCACATGTGTTTGTGTGTGTCTCTGCTCCAGACTCTCTCTGGTTTCGGGGTGAAAGGAGAAAGGGGGGACCCCGGCCCTCCTGGTCCTCCTGGCCCTCGCGGGCCCCCTGGTTCCTCAGCTGATGGAGGCTTCAGCAGGGGTCAGCCGGGGCCCATGGGCCCTCAGGGGCCTCCAGGCCCTAAAGGGGCCCCAGGAAGCCCAGGAAGAGATAGCCAGGCTGTGAGTGTCATTTTCTTCAATGGTCTTTACATTGTTATTTGCGCAAGCAACAGTGGCATTTCTTCCCAAAAAAAAAAAACACAATCACTTTGTGAAAACACAGTCAGAAAATAATTGCATTAAACTATGATGTTTTGGAAGCTAAATGCATATCTATGATTTTAAGCCTGAACTGCTTCTGATTGTTAAAAACTCAGCACATATGTGCAGCACTATGCACAGAGTAAGAAGAAGAAAGTCCATTCCAAGCTGAGTGACTCATCAGGCCGGTGCTTAACTCCAGTTTCTCTAGCATGAAGCAACTAAAACTATTGTTACTCCCCCTGGATAGCATGCTAGAGCATCTCAAGTTACCTCACCAGCTCTTAGTCAGGTTTCCCTGACAATTTGTCAGTGCCCAATTATATACCTCGGTGGAGTGAGATGTTTTCACCCAAGAACACGCCGCAAAAGCCATGGCAAGGACTAGAACTCAGGACCTTTTGGTCCTGAGTCAAGCACGCTTAACCACTGCGCCACCACATCTCCCAGCAACAAAGTACTGCATATATTGTATATTGTTCAATCATATCCCCTTGTTTTGTGCGATGATATCCTCTCAGAACCTTTACAAAACCCCTCAATACTGCAAACAGCGGCCATGTTCTGTTATCTCCGTGCATCTGACAGTGCATTTAGATTCATGGAGCTGGATTTCTTGACTCATGAATTCATAATTTACGTATACAGCTCAGTTCCTCACTCGCTTTATGAAGCAGTTTTTTGTTATTTTCTTTTCAATGTTTTAGAACGCTATGGCTTTCAGTTCCCAGAGTTAATTGTTGCATTAGCATTGGAATGTTATGCCAAGATCATCTAATCACATTATAAAGTGCCATGAATAACTGTAATTTTGCTACAAAGTACGTTGTACACTGTAGGGCAGATATGAAAAAAAAAAAACGTCTTTGATTTTCTTAATTTGGACAGTAAAAGTACATAATCTCTTCCGGCTGCTTATGTTTTTCTGTGGGAAATTAATCAATAAGATGATATGTAATTATAATTTCTCACTAGTGGCACATCGCTACCGCCGCTGATATTTTGGCAACCAATTATTGCGGTGAAACATCTAGCCTGATTTGCAGTACTTGGAGGAAAGATCGTTGCCTCGATGTGACACATCTGCTATTAAGAAAATTCTCTCTACTCTAAATAGTGTGTCCTTACACAGCCCAAAGCCTCTAGTATCTAAATACCCCTAATCTTGCATCCTTACTCACATACTGTATTTTTCCATTTTCAAGCCCCAAGAGGCTGTTTAAAAACACTCAGAGCTGCCACAAGTTCACCATTTCGTACTTAGCTGAAAACTGAAAGGTATATAATTGCGTTGCACTGTGCACTTCCTCCATCCTCTAAAAGTTTTGTTGTATTCTGTCAAACTGTTTCTGTTTTTATTCTTTTAGGGAGAAAAAGGAGTCCGTGGTGATCCAGTAAGTGCTGTTCATTATTGCTGCATTGCCGCATGCTAGCATAAGGGCAGTGGGATGTGTGCCCTGACATTTGATTCAGCAGGAGTGTACCTGCACTGGGGTGGAGACTGTTGCTATGAAACAAGCATATACCTTTGCAGTCTATGCGGTTTGTATTTGTTGAGCTCATTGAAGAGTAGTTGGGGGGTGCAATGTTTAAAAATTCATAAGCATAGTTAGAGCCCTCCATTGCTCTCTGACAATTGTTATGTCAATGCAAGAATGTTCCATTTATGCGGCAGTATTTACAATAATGGGGGTATTGTTGAAGGTATGGCATTGTTGTTCACTCGTGGGGTTGCTCTCCTCACTAATAAGAACAACACTTCATACAATATGTACTGTGAACCCTGACAAGTGTGGTGAACTCAAATCTTTTGTGGAAGCCAGTTACCTCAAAAAAAATTTTTTTCTAATGCCAACTTAATGATCTTGTGTTCACAGCAGTTAAAACCCTGAAAAATAACTTTACTTTCTTTTCTTAAGTTCCTTCCACACAATACTATTAACTACACAATTCTTTTGAGGTAATCAGTTTCCACAAAGCATTTGAGTTCACCACACTATCAGGGTTCACAGTGTACTATATATTACAGTACTTAACGCTATATATGATATATATGTCACTAGCTGTTAGCACTATGATAGTGTGTCTACTCCGGGAGAGTTGATTTGGCATTGTGCAGTTTGCTGTACAGAGAACGTAGGAGCAGTCAGCATGTGTGTAGCTTCTTCGATTGCATTGTCTGCATCCTTGCTCAGGCTGATCTGAGAACAGTCTGATCCCTCTCCCTCCCACACAGGGACAGAGGGGACAGCCGGGATTCCCTGGCCTGAGGGGCGAATCGGGAGCTAAAGGAGAGAAGGTGGGGTGGCTAGGAATGCCGTACGGATGTGGGGGGTTGAGACAAAGCCAAGGGCCCAAACTGATAAAGGCCCTCAGTCTAGACATTGTGCTGTCGTTATGCAGGGGTGCGCAGGGCTGGGGTGCTTGTCCCCGATATGAGATATTTTCACTGGGACCCAAATACCTTTCAGCTCACTTTTATGACATCACCATGCAGAATGGCCAAATAGCTGAACTTATTTTGCTGTTATCTAGCGCAAGAAGAGGGTGGTTAAATCTGCCGTAAGTGGTTTTATTTTTTTGTTTTGTTTTTGTTTTTAAAAAAGTGTTAAATAGCTCCACATTCCGACAGAGATCACTTATTTAGAGTATCTGGTCGATAACACAGGTCTCTCAGTCACTGTGTTCTGCAATAAAGCAGCATATAAAATTCTGGAGTCGCCAACTACCTCTATCCATTCAGGTGAGAGAATGCCATAAAGACGCGTTTCTATCTGCTTTTGAACGCGCAGAGCTGAATCTGCATTGTTAGTGCACCATCTTCCGGAAAGAAATCACTAGAAGAAAAAAAGTTGCCGATAAACTTTTTGTGCTGAAAGATTGCATCACATCCATGGCTAACGGCCGACAGTAGGCATGCATTCTCTGTGACTGGTGTGATGTTAAGAAAGTAGAAGAAAAATCAGTGTTGTTGGCAATAGCACAACAGATGAAGCTTCCGATCCCAGCGCTACGGGAGACTGTGTACACAATTAAACAGCCAAAGCGCCAAAGAACGGTAGAGCAACAAATAAAATTAAGGAGACAAATCGCGAGATGGCCAAGAGCTGTAATTATGTCGGTGCTGCTTTCAATGGGGACTTTTATTGTAACTGAGTAGCAACTTTCCTCTGCCTTTGTTGGAAACCGATGCGTGTTCCCGTGCCTGGCTTGGGGATGGGGATGGGGACTTCTTACATAGGCTTCAGACAAGAAGCAACGAAAACGACCAAATCAGTTACAGCAGCTTTAAAGTTTGCCAGAGTGAGAGCCTGCTTTTCAGCTTATTTCAACGTCCAATGTATTCTAAGATGAGTTCAATCATGAAATTTAAACTGAAGACAGAACAGCTATTAAACTTTTCCATTGTTCTGATCTACGTTGTCTCTTTGCAAAGCAGCGCTACGTCTCATCAAAACAGCTTGATCTTTCACCAGCCTTTTAAGTGGAAACCGCTTATTTAACCTGAGTCGGAAACTAAAGAGTTCAGATGCGTGAATCGCTTCGTTGCATTTCGATCTTCTGCTCTCCAGACAGTGAGTCACAGAAGGAAGAAAGGCTTAGCGGACCCCATTAGGATGTGATACTTCCAATCAATGCACTTCCTTGTTTGCAAATCAGTTACTTATTCTGCTCAATCAAAAAGACTCTTTTTCACAACAAGGCACTATAATTGGTATAGATGAGTGAGTCACACTTAATACCTGAGAGGACGAAGTCACACAGTTAAATCAGGAAGAATACAGTCGAGAAGAACCGCGGCAGGAAGTTGGCTGTCCTTGTCTGCTCTCTATCTGTCAATGCCATTCGCCAAAGGCATATATTTCTGTCACAGACTTCATTCAACTCATTTTACCTTTGCAAAGAAAATAGAAATTACCTCTGGAACTGATTGTGACATGCCGCGTTGTCAACTTGTTCATTATTCCAAAGTTTTCTTAGTGTGTGTATGGCTTTAAAGTATGCCATATACCTTGTCAAAACAGCATAACCCTTATTTAAAAAAAAAAAAACTCTCAGAATGATATATTTGTTCATTGTCCTGTCATTTTTATCTGAGTTTCAAAAGCAGAAGCTTTTCTCGGAATCACTGATATTAGACATTTCGATCGTTCGCTGGGTGAACAGAGCAGTGGGGGAGAGAGGGAATGTAAACAGTCGATACTCGCTCTGGAGTTGATGAATCCGTAAGGTTTGACAGCCTGTACTGTAGTTTTGGCCTGAACCCCCTGCTGGACTGTGATTGGAGCTGCAGTCAGTCAGATATAATGGGGAGGAGGCCAGGAGACTGAACAGCTGTAATGGTTTGGTGTGTTTCTTTTCTCCCAGTGAATTAACCCTCAGGTTCCTTTGTGTGTAATCAATACTTCCACACGCTACTCACCAAAACCATCCCAGTCTGCAGTCACAGTGGATGTAGCCCCACTCACCAAGTCCGCAATGCGTCGGCATTAGATTCCATCCACCAAGTGCCCAAGCCTGTGGTAGATTTCTGAATAAATATTAACTCCTGACACAGGATTATTAGAAATTTGATGGATCGCCTCACGTAACACAGATTAGGAAAATAATCTCCTGATTATGATCCCCTAATCCTTACCCTGACCCTAACTCTGTCGACCAAGGTTCTTTTGGTGGATAGAATCTATACTCTTCCTCCGCAATGCTTATAGCAAAGGAAAGAAGATGAGGGTGAGCCTCAGTAACATAATGATGTATAGTGCCCCCAAGTGGCTTGGAATGGTAAGTATTAGAGGGGAGTTGCTTGTGGGGCATGTAGTGGTCAGGTTGATGATGTTACCCTCTCCTCCTGTAGGGTGACCGTGGGGTGGGGATGCCTGGCCCTCCTGGGCCCCCTGGACCTCCGGGGCCCTCTAGCACAGCCAGGTTTGCGGTATGTAACACCACTATGCATTACACGCACAGCACTTACATTCATGCATGTTACACGGTCACCCACACACAAACTCGCACCATACACACGCACCGCAGTAACATGTACACTCACTCATATATTCACACGCCACGCTGACACACATGGAGACAATGCACACGGTTAGGGCTTCATCATTTATCATAAAATGGCTTTACAGAGATCAGGGCCTGAGCTGGAATTTCTTTAAACCTCTTCAACCTGGGATTTTTAGTGACGTGCCGTCAGAGGTATAAAAGCCCTTCAGTAACCTAGCCTTATAATGCATTTTAACTCCAAACTTACTTCTCCTAAATCAGAGAGAGAACGCACACCAGTGTTGGTTGGGCTGTCGCACACTTGCAGCCACGATGCGGCCATAATTAATTTAATAAATGACAAACGGTCTCAACATAAGTCTTCAGGGTATTGAATCATCCCTCAATGTTCTGAAAAAGACATAAATGGAATCACTGGTAATTTTATGAATTAA